TTCCCATCGTTTTCTGGCAATGGAAGTTGAAACATAACCTCGATTGTCTAAAATGGTCGGAAAAGATTACATTTTTCATCTTTTCTTTGCGATATTTTAAAAAGTAAGGGCGTGGAATTAAGCTATTTTTTCCATTATTCAATGCTACGATGGCATTTTTTTTAAAATAATTAAAACGTTAAGCTTATTTTTTTATTTGCATTTTACTATATTAAGTTTTTTTAACACCGTTTTCCTTAAGTGAATGATGGAAGCTTGATTTACCAATTTGCATAAACATCTGCCGGGAAATATATTCGTTTAATTAATTATATTCGTGATTTTCTTTATTTCAGTTCACAAGAATGATTTTTTTTCTTATTTCATGTGATAATTACTGTTGATTTTAATATATTTATAAACAATTGCATGTTATCTGTTCGATTTAAATTTAATTTAGTGTGGATTTATCAGTTTTTTATCAATAAATGGTTACATTTTTAACTACAATTTTTACAAAATTTTCATTGTAGGATGAGTAGAATTGGTTTTAGCTCAATATTAATGTATTTATATATGTACAATTGACCGAAAAGTAGCACGTTTAATGAAATAATTGTTGGTGTTCGGTAAGATGTAAATTCTGAATGAGGGGTTTCCAACCCCGAATCTAGAGTTGTATCTATGTTTGCCTCCGAAGGTTGGTTTTTACAGTGTATCGGCCGGTATACTGCCAAATCTTCGTGTTGGTGCGAGTGATGGCCGGCACCTCGGCACTGGCGTGGCGTGAGCTTCGCATCCTCTAAAACTATATAACGTCGAGTACTCGGCGAACGGTTGGGTGGGCTACCAAAAGTCGGCTTGGTCGCAAGCTAAATGGTTAAATGCGATGGTCTTAATGGAGCAGTGCGACTTGTGATTGTGTGCGAACTGATTATGGGGGATGTATCTCGAAGGGTCGTGTATAGAGTTATGGTTCCTTTGACTTTTTTGCTCCTGTGGGTGTGGTCTATTGCTCTGATAAGATCCCGTCTCATTCAGAGATTGACTGTCAAGATTTTTGTTATTACAAATTTACTATAGTTTTTTCCCTTTTTTTTGAATATCAGTAAATAATTACATTTAAATTTAATTAAATACTGTATTGTTGAGTTTATTTTAACAAACATGGTACAAAATTAAATATTTAGCTGTTCCTAATGTTGATAATTTATTATTCAAGAATTGAATGATTATGATTGAGTTTCATGTAAAAGTGAGTTAATTTATCCTAAATTAATTTTCCGGTATTAAAAAAATTTGTATTGAATTTAGCACACATTAAAGTTTTAGAGTATTCGGAATAAAACACTTTTTTTTATTCTACTTAAAATGCAGCTGTGATTTGCAAACTGCTGCAATATATCTTTGGATAGTTCAGTGATTCATATTTCAAATGTTAAGAATTTGACTTTTGGTTCTATTGCAATTTTAGTTCATGTGTGTTTTCCTTTCAGTTACTAAGTAAAATTCTGTTCTAAAATTAGTTTACCACTCTGCTTCATTAATTATTTTTTTAAAAATTAATTTCTAGAAAACAGCTTTATTTTAATATCAGTTCCTGATATTTTTTTTAAAAAAACCATATTTTTCTGTAATTTAACATTATAAAGTATTTGTTAATATAAATTAAAAAATAACTAAAGTATCAATCAAATTGAATTAAATTTTCATTCTTTTGAACTTTTATTTGTGATTTGATGTATATCTTATAAGTGACCTCTTGGTGTTTAATATTGATTTAATGAAGACTATTTGTTTGATCATTGTCAATTTCAAATAGCAATAATTCTCTTGAAGATTTGTATGGAAGTTGATGTTAGGTATGATAATGAATTTTTTGTCTATAACATTTAATTTATTGATAAATGCAATAAATCTAAGCCAAAATCAATTTCTGAAAACCTATAAATTGAAGGATTGATTAATTTTCAGTCCCTATTTAAGACTAATTTAATTAATTGAAATTTTGTGTGAAGGTACTGTTATGCTATTACCTTGAATAAAGATTAATATAATAATTAAAGTTTGATAATTAATTAAATTAGTTTTAATATAATCCAAAAAAATAATTTGATGATTTAAAATTATGTTTGTGGGCATACTAACCTGGGAAACAGGCAACTGCCCTTCTAAATTTAGACATAGCAAGAACAAATAAAATCAGAGAAAGTAAAAAAATTTACAAGTTATCAATAATGGCAAATTTAAAATTGGTTTTTGTACAGAGTTTTGGACAACCCCTCAGCCCCTTTAACTAAAGTGTCACCATATGTCCATGCCTATGTTTGGCAGTTAATTTACTTGAATAATAGAAATATGTTTTTTCTTAATGTATTTTTGATTACACTATAAAATAAACTTAGTCTTCTCATAAAATATTTATTTTTAAAAATAAAATTGGATACTTTTTCAAGAATTATTGTAAATCAATTTTAATTTTAGCATAATTTATAATTAAATAATTAACAATATACTTTTTAGTATTTATTTTTATTTTTTATTTAATAGCACAAGGAAAACCCTGTATGTATGGACATATTGCAACAGAAGAAAACATTACAATCATCAGTATCAATTCCAGTACAAAATATATTATTATTAATTAAAGTACAGTGCATAATAATTAGCCTGTCAAAAGAAAAAAAGAGTAATACAATATTAATACCAATAACAAACAAAACCAGCAACAATAATAAATGTATCCACAAAAGAAATAAAAATACACACAAAAATGGCAGCAAATAGTCGACACAAACAAAAATTCTATAAAATAATATAGAAAAAAAAATTAAACAATTACCTGAAAAAAATTAAATTATTAATTATAATACACCCAAAGCACTAACCATAAATGCTGCCAACTGTCAAGCACTAAATCATCCACTAATATACTAGATTCACACCTCCTGGTGATTAAACTAATGAAAAAAAAAAATATCTTAGACTAAAGAAATTAGATTACTTTAGCCATTTATCTTATTAACAAAACTAAAATACAATCATATTTATTACAATCTTGTAACAATTGCTCATATGATTGAACTGATAACTAATCTCCACCAAAATACTTGTCTGACAGCCTTACATTCAGTTACTACATGAAAAGCATCAAAATTAACACGAGTGCAACAGAATTCACAATAATCCAAACATGAAACCATTATTCTTCTAAATATATTACATCTCACATATAACGCTGATTGTATAATACAAAACGGTCCTTCTGTATTCAATAGGTTACTGATCCCCATTCATTAAAAATATCCAAATGCTACTTATTATATTTATAGTTAGCAGCTCTATCTTTAAATTCATTTAAATAATTATATGCCAATCTCATTAAAATATCAGAGACTTCAGTTTCATTTAACATTATAGGATCATTTCGATAGCCAAAATTTTGCAACAAGAACACGATTCAATCTCCCCACGCTACTTTTTGAGAGATTAAATATAATTTAGCGGATCTTGGTAAGTTTACTGACTGACTGTTTGCGTAACCACCTTAAATTAGTTTTTATTATATTAAAATAAAGAGGGACCCTTTGAAACTCCAAATATATAATATACGATGGAATCCATCTTTTTAAAGAATATAAACGTTTAATAAAATTAATTTGTAAATTATCATCTTTCTCTCTCCATTCAAAGCCCCAAGTCTTGGACCCATATAACAGTATTGACTGAATAAATGACTCAAATAATTTTAATTTATCTTTCCAGCATAACAATCTACCAATATACTTTTTAGTAATTAAAAATCAAATTAAATTTTTTTAATATTAAACAAATTGAATGTTTTCACTGTATATTATTGTGTGTACTAACTCAAAAAAGTATTGCAAGGAAATAATTAAAAATAATCTATAGAATGTATATGATGCATATAATTTAATTATAATTAACTGATGAGATATCCATCTATGTATTGTTGACTTTATATTCATTAGGAGAAATTTAATATATGATAATTTTTAATTAGGTAAATTTCATTAATTAATTAGTAAAACTTTTGATAATTAGGCAATAGTTTGATTGATTTGGTGTCAAGTCTGAAATTTTTTATTTTGTTTAGAATTAAAAATAAAATATTAGTTATAAATCAATTTTATGAATGAATTCATAATTGGAATTAAAAAATACAAGAAAGTTTCAGGATTTTATTAAAGTTTAATTTTCTAATTACCAAACAATGTAATTTCAGAAAAGAAATATGTTAAATAATTTAAAAATTCTTATTTCTATAAGTTGAATTAAATTGTTATAAAATTATCTTTAAGTTAAATGTTATCATTTATTTATTTAAATTTTTTTCTCTTGTAGATATTAGCAATTATGGCTTCTAAACAACTTGTATTGCGATGCAAAACAAAAGATGGACAGTACACATTGGATACATTGACTGGTGATAACACAGTTGAAGATTTAAAAGGACATTTGTTCAGTATAACTGGTACTGATCCAATTGCTATTAAAGTCCTGGCAGGTTTTCCTCCCAAACCTCTTGATTTATCAAATGATAATAAAAAATTAGAAGGTCTACCTCTATATTCTGGTGAAACATTAATTGTAGAAGAAAATGCAAAACAAGTTTTGCATCAAAAAGCCGACGTTGTTTCTCCTCTGTGTGTTGAACAGATGAACAGTAGTGCTCCAGGAATACTCATGAGACGTACAGTACCAGCAAATAATTCGTGTTTATTCACTAGTGTTTATTTTTCGTTATCTAATGGAGAATATGATATTTCTGCTGGCTTTTCTCTAAGACAAATAATTGCAGAGACAGTAGCTGCTGATCCTGAAACATATAATGAAGCATTTCTAGGAAAACCTAATAAAGAATATTGTGCATGGATTCTTAATGAAAATCATTGGGGTGGTGCAATAGAACTTTCTATTCTCAGTAAATATTACGGTGTAGAAATTGTGGCAGTAGATACACAAAACATTCGTCTGAATCGTTTTGGGGAGGATTTGAATTACGATCAGCGTATTTTATTAATTTATGATGGGATACATTATGATCCCTTAATGCTGGAAACGTTAGGATCCCCACAACAGATTCAGACATTATTTCAAACTTCAGATGAAACTATTTTACAGATGGCTCTAGAAATTGCACGAGAAGCTAAATCAAGTCGACAGTTTACTGACGTTCATAATTTTTCATTGCGTTGTTTAGTATGTAATGTAGGACTAAAAGGACAGATAGAAGCTCAGCATCATGCTAAAGAAACAGGACATACTAATTTTGGAGAAATATAACATAGATCTTGGTTGCTTGCTGTTCTCTTTACTATATGTATTTTCTTAGCATAAGGTTGCCATTGAGAACAAATCACAACAGGAACAATTTAGCGGAAAAAGGTCGGTTTATTGAAAAGAAAGGATATGCATTTTGGGCTTAACCTGTCGTGCGTTGTTCCCAAAAATATTCGTGTTGACCTCATTGACCTGTGTGAGCGATCCCAAATATTTTCGTGTTTACATCGGAATGTTTTTGATACTAGATGTCGCTATGCGTCACAATTTTTATATTAAAACAAACTTTTAAAATATAATTTATTTTGTTTCTATATATTTATTTTGTTTGTGCAACATAAAAAAATAATTTTTAACGACACAGTAAACACGATTATTATTTTAAAAAAAAATGTTTTTAGGCTTAACATTGACGAAAATTCAACATAATGTCACAAATTTCAGATAAAAATTTCAACATCGAATAGGTTAATGCCCCTCTTCAGTCCTATTATAACAGATTTATCAGCAAAAGTTATTACAGTTACAGATTTACTGATTGTATTGAAATATTTAGGACATGCATACAAAGGTTTATACAATAAAACATAATTACCTGAGATCATAGTGACAGTTAGGACAACACGACTCGTGAGAAGACATAGTTGAAAAAATGGGAAAGTGGAGCTAAAATTCTTTTAGCTCCACTTTCAGTATCAGTAAATCTATGTTATCAGTAAATCTGTAACTGTAATAATTTTTGCTGATGAATCTGTTATAATAGGACTGAAGAGGGGCATTTAGCCTGAAATGCATATCCTTTCCTATCAATAAACCGACTTTTTTCCACTAAGTGTTCCTGTGTGATTTGTACTCAATGGCAACCTTATACTAAGAAAATACAAATATAACATAGTTTTTGCATATTTATACATAATTTAAGTTTTAATCTATCAATATATTTAAATATGTGGTTTTCTTGTAGACAGAATTAAAACTCAATTTTAATTGTACTTTTAGAAAATTAATTCATTTTCAAATTATTCTGATTGTCTTATTTTGTATCTTGAGAAACTGTGATAATATAGAATTTTAATTTAAAATATGCATGTTTTTGAACATTTACCCATCAAAATATGTAATTTGTTTCAATTCTGACAAAGAGAAGAATGAAATTTTGCTTTTATAATATACTAGCAGGTAAGCCCAGCATTGCCCGGGTATAAATTATCATGAAAGTTATTTATGAAACAACGAAGAGTGCACATTGAATAGATATTCTTCTTGCTTATGGACAGGAAACAGAATGTTTAGATTTGAAATGTGTAATTAGTATTTTTTTTCAAGAAATTATTCAGTATGTAACAAAAATCTGTGATATGAGAAATAAACAAAACTCATATCAAGCAAAGGTGAATTTGAACAAGGTATATAAGGCTAAAAAAGTTAAATAAAATTTATAACACTTCTTCATATACAACATTGCGTGTTTTTCCAAACGGGAAGTATACATAAAGATTGTTAGCAGTTCCTACCCTAGAGCATCCTACATACAGTTGACCATGAGGAAAACATTCTTCTAATTGTAGGCCAACAACTTTCAATGTTTGTCCCTGTGATTTGTTAATTGACATAGCAAAGCTTAGTTTTACTGGAAACTGTAAGCATCTAAATTGAAATGGCTCTTGTGATGTTATTAGAGGTATCCTAAGAATAAAAGTGTACTCATCCTTGCCACAACCAGTTTGTATTTGTGCTTCAATAATATGAGGCCTGTAATGCTTTTATTATTAATCTGGTACCATTGCAAAGGTTAGGCTGATCTAAATTTTGTAGAAGTATTATAGGTGCTCCAACTTTAAGTTGTAAACTTGTTTAAGTTTGTGAGGAGGCAACTCTGGATATTCCAAAGAATTTAAGAACTCCATCTGCCTCTAGTTGGATTATCAAAAAGGAATATTTTGTAAGGACCCAAATTATTTGTATGGTCACAGATTTAATTTAATCAATTTAAGAACTCTGTTGGAGATATGACAATTTCATTTGGATTTATAACTGTATCAATGGATTTGTAAATATAAGGATCACCTGGAATATCACGGAGTAGTTGTAAGTTGAATTACAACTTACAAAAAATTATAGAATTAACTGTCATATTTTTTGGTGCTAATATTGCTCTTTTGCACAACCAGGTAAAGACTTTGTAGTGAGAAGTAAAGTTAGTAAATACCTTATTTATTAATTCATTAACACTTTGGACTACTATGCTGATTTTAGGTATATTGACTTTATTGTCAGAATCCACAGGAAATTTTCCTTCTCCAAGCAAATTATAAGCAAATATATCTGAATTGTGGTCACCATAAATTGTTGCTTGTATGTTAGTGGTAAGCTTAAAGATCATAACATTGTGCCACAAACAGGAAGATTTGAGACATGCTCAAATTTCATCATTTTGTTTCTTTATAACTGGCAGGGTCTGGTGAAAATCTCCAGATAAAACAACAGTTACTCCACCCGTCAGTGTCTTGTTGTTTCTGACATCTTGTAGTAGAGTTTTATTCAAGGCTTCCTATGCCCTTTTATGGGCCATTGTACATTCATCCCAGACTATAAGTTCACATTTTTTAAATACCTCTCCCTTACATGAATTTTTGGTAATATTACAGCTTCATCATTAGCAGCTAAATCCAAACGAAATTTGAATGTAGAATAAGCTGTGTGTCCTCAAGGCAGCAGTGTAGTGGCTTTACCAGAAGCTACAACAAGAGCAATTTTATTTTCCTTCCCAACTTTGGCCAGTAATTTGTGACAAATGTTTTTCTAGTACTACCATGAGCATACAAAAAGTATATACATCCATTCTTCTGAGATTATAGTTAAATAAGCAATTCTTTGATCAGACAACAACTTTGGTTCATTTTCATTTATATATTCAGTAAAAAATTGGTATCATATGTTGATTCCTGTTCTATTGGTTTGTGGAAGACTAAATGATGATAGCTGTGGTCCATCCATAGACACAATTTTATCTTCTATGTCAATTAAGGTTCCGTTGTATATTTGATCTGTATAAAATGCATCAATATTTGGGTTGGCAAGTTGCACTTGGCACTTAAAGTCATATGCCAAATCATCTTTATATTTGTTTGATAATTCCAAAGGATTTCCTACATCACAGAATTTTAAGAGAATAGCAAATATATCTTGTAGCTCAGTAGTTCCCAAATGTTTTGATTCTCGGTGTCTTTGCTAAATCCAGATTTTTCCAAGGCAACTTATGTCAAACTCTAACAAGTACAATTTGCTAAATTGTGAAATAGCCAATATTTTTTAAANAAAATGTTACTATATTGAATAATGTTAAAGGATAGTTTAATATATAAATTCAAATGCAGCTGTATAACAAAATGTTGTGTAGGAAAAACTAGAACAACAGAACATTTATGTGCAATTAAATACAATTACACAAATTCTGCAATGGCAGTGCACTGTCCCTGAACCGGATTTGAAGTGTCAGCTAACAGTATGAAAATTATTTAAAAAGAATATTACGGGTACACTTCGTGAGTACAAAAGTTCCTTTATACAGCAGAATAGATTTAAATAACGAAATAAAAATCGACGGCATATGGCAACTCATAACACACGAGCAAAGTAAATTTCTAAACACAACAGTTGTCTCCCTTTAGTGAAATGCTACTTTCCCTTCAAAGTGGAGTGCTTTGCAGTGAAGTCATTTTGATGAAACGCACGTTGAAAGATGACAATGAAGGAAAGTCAACATGTTTTTAATATATCAATTTTAATTTTATTTTAAATAATTTTTTACGTACTACTACGGAAGAAGTATAACATCGCTTTTCTCTCAATTTTGTTCTTAAAATCGGCGTAGAATGTTACGGTATTACCGAAAACGTAACAAATGCAATATTTATCAAACTGTCGGAAAAGTTCTGGGGAAACACGTCGGAGACGTCACGTGGCACATTCCCAGGCAGTCACGTGAACGAGTGACGCTTTCTACGCTTCCGCCATCGTACTCCACGACGAAAACCAGTTTAAACAACGGCGGACCGAACGGTGCACAGTCGATAAGTAGTCCTATGGTGTTTGTTGATAATTGATATTGCGTTTTTTATATGGATAGGCGTCGAATAATTCTGTGTGTTTTGCAAATACTACGTAATATATCTGGTTTCGAAACCAAATTCAGAGAAAAAGCGACGTTATTCTTCTTTAGTGGTTTCATCATCTTATATAAGAGAATTTTATATTTTAATTATAAATTCTTATATGTAGACTTAATATCTTAGTTCCATGTTGCATAAAGCTACACGAAAAACCTTCAAATTTACCAGATAAATATTACTGTAATTACAATATGTCTGTATTAAAAGCGAAACGATCCATCGTCACCGCACAAAAATAACGTAAATTTCAAAACGACTTTAATTACTGTATTGTTTTATTATTTTTAAATTTAATTGTTATCAGTTTTTATCGTCACGACTAGGTGAAAGACAGACACTGGGCATTTCTACATCATCTTTATTCGGAATATCCTATAGGCAGATGCGGGTTTCGGGCATAAGTCCCTCATCTGTCGGCTACATAATAAAACATATGAATTTCTCATATTATAAAATGTTTATGACTTCCAGGATTTCTTGTAAGTGGTGTTGACACGTATTATTATTAATTATCATCTTTAATGTTAATTAGTTATTAGGTTAAATTTACGGTAGAGCATCGATTATCCGAAACAATTCGGGACTGAGGTTGTTCGGCTAATCGATTATGAACGAAAAATATATTAACCCAGTGTTTCCCAACGTGAGAAATTCTAAAATGGACTCGTCCAGAGTTTAAGTTAACCGTATAACCGCTCTATATGTTAGGGGGAATAAGAATTTTACAAAGGCTTAGCACAAAAAACTTTCAGAAACACTGTACTAACCTACCCCATGTTGAAATTCGTTCAAATCCTGGCGCTCCCTTAACTACGCCCTCGTGGTGGCGTCAGTGTTGCTAGATATAACACGCACACCAACAAAAATAATATTGGAGTAGCCCAAGAATATTAATTATTTAAATATTAATTAAAATATTTTTAATTAATTGAAACTATTTTTTTTGCGACGTAACTATAGAAATTGTTTTAGTGTTGTTTCGATCAAAAGATAATCAAATTTAAATTTATTTGAACTTTCTAGTAATTTTTTTCATTTTTCTTTTATAAATCTGTCTGCTTTTTAAATATTTATTAATTATAAGAGAATTCATATCGATAGAACTAACGGGCTG